TAAACTACCATTGACATTCTTCACAGAATTAGAAAAAAAAACTATTTTAAGATTCATATGGAACCAAAAAAGAGCCCAAAGAGCCAAGACCTGAACTCAGCACTGGATCAAGAGCTGAGCAAGAAGAAAGAAGCTGGAGGCATCATCCTACCTGACCTCAAACTACTATAAGGCTACAGTAACCAAAACAGCATGTTACTGGTACAAGAACAGACACATTGACGAATGGAACAGAATAAAGAACTCAGAAATAAGACTGCACGCCTACAACCATCTGATCTTTGACAAACCTGACAAAAACAAGCAATGGGGAAAGGATTTCTTATATAACAAGTGGTGCTGAGAGAACTGGCAAGCCATATGCAAAAAAAATTTAAACTGGACCCCTTCCTTACACCCGATACAAAAGTTAATTCAAGATGGATTAAAGACTTAAATGTAAAACCCAAAATAATAAAAACTCCGTAAGAAAATCTAAGCAATACCACTCAGGAGAGAGGTATGAATAAAGATTTCATGATGAAAACACCAAAAGCTTCTGCAGGGCAAAAGAATCATCAGAATGAACAGACAACCTACGGAATGGGAGAAAATTTTTGCAATCTACTCACTGTACACTAAAAATTACCAGATGAAGAATCAAGTACCCCCAGGATGAAGAACTCATTCTAGCACCAATTCCAAGTTCAAAATTCCATCTAAATATCACTTAAATCAGGTATGGTTGAGATTCAAGTTATGATTCATCCTGAGGCAAAATTCCTCTCCAGTTGTGAACCTGTGAAACCAGACAAGTTATGTGCTTCCAAAGTACAACAGTAGGACAGGCATAGAATAGCTATTCCCATGCCAACAAGCAGAAACCAGAAAAAAAGAAAGGGGTGACCATCCCAATAAAGTCCAAAACCTAGCAAGACAAATTCCATTAGATCTTAAGGTTCAAGAATACTCTTCTTTGACAGGATGCTCTACCCTGCTGGGCCCACTTGGACAGCAACTCTCCCATGGCCCGAGGGACTGGCCCCATCCCTTCAGCTCTGTAAAGCGGCCCTGACCCCACAGCTCTGGGTGACAGCCTTGTTCCTGGGGTAATAAACAGTGACATCCTCGTCTACTGAAACCAAGGAGGTGGCCCTATTCTCTGAAACCAAAGAGAATGCAGCCTTGCCTCCTGGGCCAGTAGCAGGAGTGGCAGCCCTGATGATCTCTGAATTGCTTTCAGGGTCATTCTTCTCTTTTTCTTTTTTTATTATACTTTATGTTCTGGGATTCATGTGCAGAACGTGCAGGTTTGTTACACAGGTATACATGTGCCATGGTGGTTTGCTGCACCCATCAACCCGTCATCTACATTAGGTATTTATCTTAATGCTCTCCCTCCCTTAGCCCCCCACCCGCTGACCGGCCCCAGTGTATGATATCCCCCTCTCTGTGTCCCTGTGTTCTCATTGTTCAACTCCCACTTATGAGTGAGAACATGCGGTGTTTGGGAAGGATGATGCATGTTTGAAGCCAGACAACTCTATTGTCCTATCCTGTAGAATCCCAGAAGTTAAACAGCCTTCCTTCATTCTGTCCAATTTTCTCTGTTCCCTTTAGTTCCAGCTGGCAGTGTTTCTGCTGATGTAATCCCATCTCTGATCCTGGCTTCAGCTGACATGGCGGATTAAATCATGGGGAATCTTTTTATTGCCTGAGTGTCCAGCTACACCTTTGGTGTTCTTTCCAAAACATGATTTCTCATTTTGAAAAATACAAAGTGGGCTGAAAATTTCTCAAATCTTCAAGTTCTTGTTCCTTTTTGCTTAATAATTCCTTCCATTTACCTCTCTCCTCTTGCATTCTGCGTTTTACTATAAGCGGTGATGACAAAACAAGCCTCATCTTCAGCATTTTGCTTAGAAATCTCCCTGGCTAAATAACCAAGGTTGTCCCCCACAATTTCTACCTTCTACAAAAGACTAAAACACAATTCAGCCAAGTTCTTTGCCACTTTTTAATAAGGATCTCTTTCCTCCAGTCTCTAATAACATTTCTCATTTCCCTCTGTGACCTCACCAGAAACACTTTTTTTTTTTTTTTTTTTTTTTTTTTTTTGAGACAGAGTCTTGCTCTATCACCCAGGCTGAAGTACAGTGGCCCAATTTCGGCTCACTGCAACCTCCACCTCCTGGATTCAAGCAATTCTCCTGCCTCAACCTCCCAAGTAACTGGGACTACAGGTGCCTGCCACCACCTCAGGCTAATTTTTGTATTTTTAGTAGAGACAGCGTTTCACCATGTTAGCCAGGTTGGTTTTGAACTCCTGACCTCAGGTAATCAGCCTCCCAAAGTGCTGAGATTACAGGTGTGAGCCACCATGCCCAGCCCAGAAACACCTTTAATGTTCATATTTCTACCAATTCTATTCTGTTCATAATTATGTGTATATTCTCTAAGACTATAAAAGCTTTCTCTATAAGTCTTTTCTTTCTGATCCTTCATTAGATTTACCTTTAGCATCCATATTTCTACCAGCCATTCCTTCAAGGCAATCTAGGCTTTTTCTTAGCATGTACTTCACCAGTCTTCTAGCCTCTAGTCTTCACTCAGTTCCAAATTCACTTCAACATTTTTAGGTATTTGTTAAAGCAGCACCCCACTTCACAATACCAAAATCTGATTACTCTGCTCAGGTTACCCAAACAAAATGCCACAGACAAGGTGGCTTAAACAACAAAAATGTATTTTCTCACAGTTATGGAGGCTGGAAGTCCAAGATAAAGGTGCCAACAGGGCTGATTTCTGGTGAGGCCTCTCCTCTTGGCTTGTAGACAGCTGCCTTCTTGTTGTATCCTTTCACGACCTTCGCTTTGTATGCATGAACCCCTAGTATATTTCCTCTTCTTGTAAGTACACCAGTCCTATTAGATTACCTAAATCCCTAACCTTATGACCCTATATAACCTTAATTATCTCCATAAGGCCCTTGACCTCATGTAACCTTAATTACCTCCATAAGGCCCTATCTCCAAATATAGTCACATTAGGGGTTAGGGATTCAACATATGAACTTTGAAGGGCCACAATTCAGTCCATAACAGAGTTCTTAGATGCAAAACCAAAAACAAGATCCATTAAAAAAAATTTGATAAACTGAATGTCATCAAAATTGAAAATGTTTGTGTTTCAGAAAATAGCACTGAGAAAAATGAAAATGCAAGCCAGAAATTGGGAGAAAATAATTCCAAATGAGATATCTGATGGAGAACTTGTGTCCAGAATATATAATGAATTCATAGAACTCAAAAATAAATAAACAACTAAATTTTAAAATAGGAGAATAATTTGAGTAGACATTCCACAGAAAAGGCATATAAATGGCTATTAGGCTCCTTAAAAATACTCAACATATTATTCATTAAAGAAATGCAAATAGAAGCCACAATTACATACCACTACACTCCCACTACAATAGCTTTAATCCAAAAGACAGAAAATGTCAAATGTCCACAAGTATGGGAAAAAACTGGAACACTCAAAAATTGCTGATGTGACATGTAAATTGGTACAGTCGCTATGGAAAACACTGTAGCAGTTTCTACAAATGTTAAACACAAACTTACCATGTGCCCAGCAATTTCACTCCTAAGAATCTACCCAAGGGAAAATACACGTCCATACGTGAATGCTCATAAAAGAATTATTCATAATACTCAATGTCAGAAAACAATCCAACGTCCATCAACTGGAGAACGAGAATGGATAAGCAAAATGTGGTATATCCACATTTAAGAAATAGAAATTAATAACCTGATCAATGCTACAAAATGGATAATCCTAAGTGAAAAAAAGTCTAATACAAAAGCTTACATATTGCATGTTGCCATTTATATAAAATGCCCCTAAAGAGGCAAATACATAGAGACAGACAACAGATCAGCAGTTGCCAAGGGCTGGAGAAGAACTACAAATGTGCATAAGGGATCCTTTTAGGGTTGACAGCAACATTCTACAATTCGACTGTGGTAATGTTTGCACAATTCTATTTATGTACTGCTGTAATAATTGTTGAGCTGGATGCTTAAAATGGGTGAATTCTGTGGTGGTGTAAATTGCACCTCAACAAAACCATTAAAAATAGAATGTTACCAAAAGATTGGTCACTTACAAGCAAATCTTGCTTAATCATATTTCTTTTTTTTAAATCGCCTAAGACACCTATAGCATATAGCTATGCACATGACAAGTCTAGAGAAATAGTTGCTAAATAAATCAAAGAATAAAATAAAGTATTTCCCTTTCTAATAAAAATAGTAGAATAAAAGGTTTCTTGTCTGAGAATTGCTAGATGTAGAGGTGGAGATTGAGAAAGAGGCTTTATTGAAAAGAAATTGTCTTAGACATTTTGGAGAAAATTATTCTCTTTGTGCTGATGTCCTAGATATCACTCAGATAAAACATGTAATTCTACATTCTCTTCTATATGTAAACTTTAAAAAAAATTTACCATAAGAAAATGACAAACGTTAACAAAATACAGGCCGGGCGCGGTGGCTCAAGCCTGTAATCCCAGCACTTTGGGAGGCCGAGACGGGCGGATCACGAGGTCAGGAGATCGAGACCATCGGCTAACACGGTGAAACCCGTCTCTATTAAGAAATACAAAAAACTAGCCGGCGAGGTGGCGGGCGCCTGTAGTCCCAGCTACTCGGGAGGCTGAGGCCGGAGAATGGCGTAACCCCGGGAGGCGGAGCTTGCAGTGAGCTGAGATCTGGCACTGCACTCCAGCCTGGTGACAGAGCGAGACTCCGTCTCAAAAAAAAAAAAAAAAAAAAAACCAAAAATACAGAACATTCTAATTTACCTATTTGTTTTACCATCAAAGCTTTTCAATCCTATCAGTAGAAATACAAGAGATATTATATTCATATTAAAATGGGCTTGACATATTGAATAGCTATATAATAAAAATAAGAAATTTCATATAAACATTTAGGTTGCGAAAAAATATCTCTTACGTATTCTATTTCTGAACTGTCACTTGTATTTGTTTGGATTTTCTCTGGAATTACGATTTGTAGAAGTGAATTTTGAAAACCTAAAGAGATTAAAAAAAAAAAAAAAAGTTAGTACCCTTGCCTTAAATTTGACTAAATATCTGTTCAGTTTCTTTCATAAAGATTACTTCTTGTGCAGGTATGCGTGGCTCATCACTGTGTACTTCTATATAAAGCTTGAAAACACTTACTTTGAAAAACAGACAAGGTACTTATGAAAGAACAAAAAAGGAGAAGGGAAGAGGTATTCAGCTGACACGAAATGTGTGGTTCCTGAAGAAAACAGAAAATATTCACCAAAAAAATCAAAGACATACTTCAAAAAAATTTTCCTGAAATAAAAGATTCAAAACAATAGACTAGAAAGTATACTGTATTTCAGGAACAACTGATCATTACTTTAAACTAAAACATATTCTACTGAAATTGTTGGGTTTCCAAGATAGAATTCCTTGCAAATATGATAGAATGAAAAAAGGAAAATCATGTTATGTATAAAGGGAGATAAGCAGGCTGGCTTGAGAATTTTTACAACACTATTCAATGTTAAAAGACTAAAGAACAATGTCCAAAAAAGAACTTTAAGAAAAGACAGTGAAGACCCTATAAATGTACACTCAGCAAAAAGGCCATTAAATATAAAGGCAAAAGAGAGATATTTACGAGCAAAACTCAAAAAGAAAAAAAAGTTCACATGAGTCTATCACGAAAGTCAGAGACATTTCTCCCAATAAAAATATCAGCAGAGTTGTGGTAAAATGCCTAACAGTGAGAACAAAATAATCATAACTATAGACTAAAGGCTAAAACAACTGTGGGAATCATAGTTATATAACAGATGCAAATGTTAAAAGCTCTGGTTACATAAACATAATATACACAACTTCAGTAACTATAGCAGAAGACGAGGAAGATCATATAAGCGTACCGATTTCCTTAAATCTGCTTAACAGAGCCAGGTGCAGTGGCTCACGCCTGTAATCCCAGCACTTTGGGAGGCCAAGGCAGGTGGATCACGAGGTCAGGAGTTCCAGACCAGCCTGGCCAACATGGTGAAACCCCGTCTCTACTAAAAATACAAAAATTGGCCAGGTGGCATGCACCTGTAGTCCTAGCTACTCAGGAGGCTGAGGCAGGAGAGTTACTTGAACCTGGAGGTGGAGGTTGCAGTGAGCCGAGATCACGCCACTGCACTCCAGCCTGGGTGCCAAAGGGATACTCCATCTCAAAAAAAAAAAAAAAAGAAAAAAAAATCTGCTTAACAGTGTGATCCAAAAAATGTGACTTAAACCTAAAAACAAGCAGTATAAGTAGAAACTGTTCAGTGACATAAAGGTACAGAAAAATTAAGATTAAAAGTAACCATAGTCGGCCAGACACGGTGGCTCACACATGTAATCACAGCACTTAGGGAGGCCAAGGCAGGTGGATCACCTGAGGTCAAGAGTTCAGCCTGGGCAACACAGTGAAACCCCATCTCTACTAAAAATACGAAAATTAGCTGGGTGTGGTGGCGCATGCTTGTAATCCCAGCTACTCTGAAGGCAGGAGAATCGCTTGAACCCAGCAGGCAGAGATTATCGTGAGCCAAGGTCATGCCACTGCACTCCAGACTGGGCAACACAGAAAGACTCTGTCTCAAAAAAAAAAAAAAGTAACCATAATCATTAAATGCCACAACTAACATCATACTGAATGGGGAAAAGTTGAAAGCCTTTCCTCTAAGAACTAGAACAAGACAAGGATGCCCACTCTCACCACTCCCGTTCAACATAGCACTGGAAGTACTAGCCAGAGCAATCAGGCAAGAGAAAGAAACAAAAGGCACCCAAATAGGAAGAGAGGAAGTCAAACTATCTCTCTTCACAGACGACGTGATTCTATAGAAAACCCTACAGTTTCTGCCCAAAGTCTCCTAGATCGGATAAGCAACTTCAGTAAAGTTTCAGGATACAAAATCAATGTACAAAAATCACTAGCATTTCTATACACCAGCAACAGCCAAGCCGAGAGCCAAATCAAGAACACGATCCCATCCAAAATAGCCACAAAAAGAACAAAATACGTAGGAATACAGCTAACCATGGAGGTGAAAGATCTCTACAAGGAGAACTACAAAACACTGCTCAAAGAAATCAGAGATGACACAAACAAATGAAAAAACATTCCATACTCATGGATAGGAAGAATCAATATTGTTAAAAGGCCCATATTGCTCAAAGCAACATACATATTCAGGGCTATGCCTATCAAACCAACAATAGTTTTTTACAGAATTAGAAAAAACTATGCTAAAATTCATATGGAACCAAAAAAGAGCCCAAATAGCCAAAGCAATCCTAAGCAAAAAGAAGAAAGCAAGAGGCCTCCCACTACCTGTCTTCAAACTATATACTACAAGGCTACAGTAACCAAAGCAGGATGGTACTGGTACCAAAACAAACACATAGACCAATGGAACAGGTTAGAAAACTCAGAAATAAAGCCACACACCTATAACCATCTACTCTTTGACAGTCAACAATAACAAGCAATGGGGAAAGGACTCTCTATCCAATAAATGGTGCCGGGATAACGGGCTACACATATGCAGAAGACTGAAACTGAACCTTTTGCCATCTTCAATAATCAATGCAAGATGGATTAAAGACCTAAATGTAAAACTTAAAACTATAAATACCTTAGAAGAAAACCCAGGACATGCCATTATAGACATCTTTGACTTGGCAAAGGTTTCATGATGAAGACTCCAAAAGCAATTGCAACAAAAACAAAAATTGAGAAGTGGGACTTCATTAAACTAAAGAACTTCTGCACAGCAAAAGAAATTACCAACCAAGTAAACAGGCAACCTGCAGAATGCAGAAAATATCCACAAACTATGCCAACAAAGGTCTAATATCTGGACTCTATAAGGAGCTTAAACAATTCAACAAGCAAAAAACAACCCCATTAAAAAATGGGCCAATGACATGAACAGATGCTTCTCAAAATAAAACATACATGTGGCCAACAAGCATATGAAAAACTTATCATTAGAAAAATGAAAGTCAAAACAACAGTGACATATCATCTCACACCAATCAGAATGACTTATTAAAAAGTCAAAAAATAATAGATGTTGGCAAGGTTGCAGAGGGAAGAGAACGTTTATACACTGCTGGCGAGAATGTAAGTTAGTTCATCCACTGTGAAAAGCAGTATGATTTCTCAAGGAACCTAAAACAGAACTCCCATTTGACCCAGCAGTCCCATTACAGAGTACATACCCAAGGGAATATAAATCGTTCTACCATAAAGACACATGCACACGTATATTCATTGCAGCACTTTTCACAATAGCAAAGACATGGAATCAACCTAGATATCCATCAGTAGTGGACTGGAAAAAGAAAATGTTGTACATATACACCATGGAATACTATACAGCCATGAAAAATGAAATCATGTCCTTTGCAGCCACACGGGTGCAGCTGGCGGCTACTATCCCAAACAAATTAACACAGGAACAGAAAACCAAATACCGCATATTCTCACTTTTGAGCAGAGGCTAAACATTGAGTACACATGGATGCAAAGAGTGGCACAATAGAACCAGAACCTACTTGAAGGTGGAGGATGGGAGGCGGGAGAAAACTGAAAAACTACTTCTCAGATACTATGCTCACTACCTGGGTAATGAAATCATTTGTACACAGAACCCCAGTGACACACAATTTACCCATATAACAAATCTGCACATGTACCTCCAAACCTAAAATTAAAGTTGGAAGAAAAAATAAAACTTATAAAAAATTTTTTACACATGATTCCTTGCTTTGACTGGGAATCATGGAATTCTGAAGTGGCAGACAATGGATGTCAGACACTTGACTCTCAGAGACAGGTGAGCACAATTACCAGAAAAAGCCACAAGGACAGTGTGAAAAACAAAATGCTTTCACCTACAGAAGTCCTTGGTAGTATCTAACTGATCACAGAGTCCCTAGAAATGAACTAGATGAGCAGGCTAGTCAAGAAAATTCTAGTTTGTGGTGCGCAGAAACTGATGCGATCACCACGAGGACTCACAGCCTCTTCCCTGGTTCCTGTACCTGACCCAGTTCAAAGGCTTGCAGCCTTTTCATTGAGGAGTGAGAGAGTCCTCTTTAGGAAAGACCTTGCCATGCGACCACAGGAATGTGCTACGAATCTTCCCCTGCAGCCTCCTCCATAGTGTCCTGCGTCCTTTTACCATGATGACTATGCCCTGGGGAGGGGAAATAGCCAGACTTTCAGGGAGTATTACTTACTGCCTCTGAACTAACACTAATCCTGAGGACTCAAAATACCAGCACGGTCCATTGATCAGAATAGGGACTTAAATAGATCAAGGGATAAATTGTGACCTGGATCCATCAATGGTGAACGAAATTACAGTTTTTGTGAAATGAAGTAGCTCGTTGAAATTAAAGTCTCATTAGTTAGTTCATGTGAAACTATAGTTGATTAGTGAAAAAAATATAGACTCCAATGTGTTGATTTGTTTCAACAAATCATAGCACAGAGGGACACTGTCCTGTCATAGCACAGAGGGACACTGACCATTTTGATTTCCCATTAGAACATCATGCTGGTCAAGTTGCATGTGAAAGACATCATGCTAATATATTTAGTGAGCAAGAAGTAGCAAGTGCCCTAGATGTTTTAGTCAGATACATGTATGCTGGAATGTGGTAGAACCTATGGAGGTTTAAGGGATAGTTACAACCCCGACGTTTCTTGGGGTCCAGTGGTTGCAGCATGCTGAGAGATCCTGTACAAAGTGAGATGCTAGTGGCTACACCTTGCATAGCCCACCACAAAAAAAAAGAGTCACAACGAGTGGCGGGCCTTTTTGAGTTTTTGAATTCAGAGATAATACATACTGTTTTGGGGTGTGAAAGCCTGAATCATTCATCGGGTGACTGGTAAAGCTGTCAAAATTGACTGGGATCCAGCGCAAGAGAAGACTCTGCAGCAAGTTCAAGATACAGATGGCACTGCCCTGCCGCTTCAGTGT